GTTCAGTAATTTGGCACCAGTAGATTATAGTCATTTGGCCAGTTTAATGATATGTTTGGAATTCGTTCACTAACCTCTTTACTTTAATGTTATTCACTAGGTTTTAGCTCACTGTGTATATATATATATGTATATAGGTGGGCGACATGAAGGTCAAGCCTAGATGAACTCCGTTAGTCGAGCCACCGCTTGAAGCCTTTTTAAGTTTTGGTGCCTCCGAGTTGAGGCTAGGTCTAGAAGACCGTTGTCCAGTTGGTAATTTTGATGTTGAGTTTTGTTATGTGTATATATATATGTGAATGATTTGTACAAGTTGTTATATACATAATACAAGGTGGGTAAATTAACGTTTTGCGCATGTATCATTGCATATAGATTCACAACTCAATAGACTATTTGTTGTATTTATGTTATAAGCTTCTATTAGCCCGATTATTTTGATTTGTACAGGAAAGCCTTTGGTAATCTTTGATTACTGGCCGGTTACGACGCTAAACCTACAGGGACGGGTTTGGGTCGTGACAAATCTAAAGGCATATTCCAAGCCTCAAATGCCTATAAAATAACCACCCCTCTTAAGGGAAAAGGGTTCCACTTTTCAGACTCTCTATATACTCCCTAATATTCTCTCCAATAGTTTTAATTAAATATACAAAGAGAGAGAATTTTGGGGAGAATTTTGAACTACTTTCTACCTACCTTTGCTTGGAGGATTTGGAGCCAGAAGACTTCTATTGATTAAAGGGAGCTTGGGTCAACGTTTGTGATCAGCTTGAGCCCTATCTATAATATTCTAGAGGTAATCCCTACTTTCACTTTAATTTTAAGTTCATCTCCACCTCTTTGCTTTGAAAATTTATTGGGATTGATTGGTTGAAATTTTTACTCGCTTAGTTTGATTTCTCTCTCTCTCTCTCTCTCCCTCTTGCTGTAGTTACACTACAACAAAAAAGGCCTTTGGTGACAGACTGATTTTGTCTCCAAACATCAAATTTTCGTTACTACAGTGATCTGCGACGAAAATTTTTTGTCACCACGTTCGTGGCCTACATGTCGTCACTGAAAGTACCTGGTGACGAAAAACAATTTCGTCGCCTATTTTTCATTTTTAGCAACGAAATGTTTCGTCTCCAAATGTTGAATTTTTCGTCCTCTAAAACATCAATTTCGTCACCAAAACTAAATAATATTTTATTTTAATTGTTTTTGGCGACGAAATATTTCGTCACCAAATATATTTTAGTGACGAAAGTTTTCCTCACCAATGATATGGATTAAGCTGACAAAAAAATTCATCACTAAAATGAGTAGAAAAGAAAATTATTCAATGACAAAAAACATTTTGTCACCAAATATTTCAATTTAGCAACGAAATATTCAACAAATGTGAAAATTATTCGTCATGTTTTTTGAAAACTAATAGCGGCATTTTTCAATTCGTCGCTAATAAAAATTAAAAAATTTTAAAAGGAGGGTACTATTTTCATATTAAATTTTTTCTTTTCAGTAAAAATTCTCTGCGCATTTCAATAACCTGTTCAATAACCTGTGCAATAACCCGCTCGATGGCCTATTCAATAACATGTTCAATAACATATTTATTACAAATCAATACAAAAATCTGTTCATTTTCATAAACATCACAATCGAATTTCAGCACTATCCACAAAAATACAATATGAACTGCATGTGGATTATAGACATGTCTTCTAATATCCACAAAAAAAAAAAAGTCTACTAATATCCACAAAAATACAATATCAACCGCATGCGGATTACCAAACACGTCTCCTAATATCCACAAAAAAACAATATCAACCGCATGTGGATTACCAAAAATGTCTCCTAACATCCACAAAAACACATGTCTACTAATATCCACAAAAATATAATATCAAGGGCGGATTACCAAACATGCCCCATAATACTAACAAAAATATAATATTTACAACACAACCAAAATACAT